GTGTGTGTGTGTGTGCGTGTGTATGTGTGCATGTATGTATGTTTATGTGTGTGTGTGCGTGTGAGTGTGTATAATATGGATGTGTATATTACGTGATTTGTATGGAAAAGGGTAGAAGAGTAAAAACTAAAGTAATTTCCAACTTATTAATCGACAAACATACTTTTGTCAAATTAAATACAGCTTGCTATTTTTAACACGCTTTTAAAAAAAAATTATTTTAATCTTTCGAGCCGTCTTAAGTTTAAACTCCTAATGGTGCTGCTCATAATATAACTGATAATAACAATAATAGAAGAGCAGGAAAAAGATATATTAAAAGTGATTTTAAAAAAAATAAAACTGCTCAGTTCATTTGAATAGCTCAGAATGACAAAGTGACAGCGGGAAAAAAACAACAACAAAAAAACAACACCCCCCAAAAAAACCCAAAAACAACAACAACAACAACAACAACAACAACAACCCCAAACAAACAATAAAACAAAACAATGAAGCAAGACACAAAAACATGAATATTGCAAAATCTGTGTTCATTCTAGAAAGCCTCCGCTTTGTAGAAAATAAATAGTCGAGTAAATCAACTGAGTACTCGGGGGTTTCGGATTCGATAGAGTACGTGAGTATTCACTAAAGCGAATACTCATTGGAGCTAAATACGTGAGTACTCGCACACCCCTCTCATTTAGAGCTTGGCTTACAAATTACATTCTTGGGGTAATTACATTACTTTCCATGTACCCTCTTCATAAGCTGCAAAATAATATTCGATCTTCCATTGATTTGGAGCAAAGCTAGGAAACTAGACTCATTTTAACAAGACAAGAGCTTCGTTACGTGTGGTTTAAAGTTCTTCTACATTTACTTCAAAAAGCTTCTACCAATAAACCCATGCTTGTGTGAAAACAAAAAATGAACATTAGGTCGAAACAAGAAGTTTTAAAATAAGAAACTAAAAAAGCCAAATAGCTTATTCGCGGAGACAAAGTCTCCCTACGAGATAAATTCGTAGTAAAAAGAAACATTGTATTGTTTACAGTGAGTTTTGGAAGAAAGAATGACATAATTTGTCATATTTTACGGTACGTTTATTTCAAACGTCCCCGATACTCGCACGTGTGCATTGTTTTTTAACCTCACACTAACAATCTCTTTTCGAAGAAATGAATTAGGGATCTCGTGGCCTAGAGGGGAAGGTGCTCGCCTCTCATCCAATAAGTCTAGGGATCAAATTATCCCGATAGCGAAGGAAAATTATCTTCTCTAAAATGTTCTCCTTTCACATCTGTTCCTGCTCTCTAACAAGGTTCTGTCGTCTGCTTTCGTCTCCACGTTCTGTCCTCACCCCCTCACCTCCTTTGCCCCTTCCTCTGGGCTCCTGACTCTCTGCAGCCTTTCTACTGCTTCTCATTGACTGCTTACTGCTGTCTTTCAGCCACACCCCTGATCTTATGGTAGGTAAGATCTACACCTAGCCTTCTCGTACAAGGGCGAAAAATCTCGAAGGTCCCGTGTGCAAGTTGCGCACGTTAAAGATCCCTTGGTGGTCTAAAGAACCTTTGGTGGCCCATAATCGATAAGAGTACACTTCCCGGGAAAATTCAAAATTTCCTACCCACTGAAAATGTTTGGTGTGTCGTGCGCGCTCATATGACCTAGTGCAGTTGCGAGAACCGTAAAACAATTACCAAAACAACAAAAATCAAAAGAAGAAGAAGAAATAAATAAATAAAGCTTAAATCGATTTCGAAGACCTGCACACAGTATGCACATAACATATTTGGAACTAAGATATCAAGAAATATAAGAGCATGATAGCTTCCTCGCCACGTAGTCAACAGAATAATATGCACCCTATAGTGGTGACTTGACTTCTTGCTTCACTATTATGTCGTTTTGGCTCTATTAACGTGTGCATAATCCTGACGTGATAAATGGTAACCAAGTCTTGTTTGTGGCAGAACGATGCGGGCGTCTATGGTGTCATAGATAGCTGGAACCCACGATTGGAGCTCGGTTCGGTTCTACAGTGAAGATGAGTTATAACGTATCTCCCCGTTCTTTATGATGGGGGGTATCTTAAACCCTGCCTGTCAGAGTTGAAACAACCTCCACTGTACTTGTTGAATATTCTAGATTGCGCCCATTACAATGTTAAGCGTTTTAAAATTTAACGATCAAAAAGCGCGTCTTTGAACCATGTTCACTCTCCAGTTCCAAGCATGCTAGCATGGTTCAAGAAAGCAATATAATATAGACGGCTTTTGAGATGGGCCAATGATTAGTGATATCCAGCTCTGTCAAGCAATGTCGAAAACCAACATACGGATTCTCATTGAGATGTGTTTTTGAGAAAGAGGCGTTTATTCTCACTAACGAAAAGACCCTCACCCCCCCCCCCCCCAAAAAAAAACCCAAACAACAGCAATAACAAAAACCACGATGATGTATAGCGACGACCAGTTGCACCGTGCAATCTCCAGCATGTGGGGTTATATCAAGCATTTTTGTACACGTCATTGTGAAGAAAATTCCCATATGAGATCGACATAGCTGTCTTTTCTTAACTTCCTTCTCTCAATATGCATGGAACATCAATAAAGCCAAGCAAGTATTTGTTGTTGGTTGGCATGTGCTCCTGTGTTACTTGATCCTTTCGTTATAAACGTCTGTTGTCGTCCTTATATCCCCTCTTTCTTTTCATTGTATGTAACTCTCTTGTAACACTTCTCATCGTCTGCATTTATATGACTTATTTGTGTGACAAGTACCTATTTACTTACTAAAACTACAGTTAAAACCAAGAACATTTCGGTTCAAGACTTTTTTTTAACAACAGGTTTATAATTTTTTAAAAGTCTATGAGTCCCTCTATGTGGGGGTGGGGGGTAAGGGAGGGGGTAAGGATCCCCTGTACACCTGTACGAGACGTTACTCTCTAAACAAGATTAATAACATACATTCTGGTCTTTCGACTAGGAGTTCTTTCTTTGTCTCCTTCAGTCGTCACTAACCAATGAGCTAGGGTCGTTGGACAAGTTATTCCCTTTCAAAACTTTTCATCAAAAGCTGTGTTATGACTAAACTAGAAACATTGTTTGACTCATATCCCTTAAATAAAACAACTTTAAAGTCCTATCTAAGCAGTGCCATTTTTTATGTTTTGCCTGATGCAAAGCAAAAGTCAGTTCCTATAATATTAGATTAGAGTCTTTCTGTTTAATGAAGGTACAATACTAACCTCAACTATGAATGGGCTCTAGCGTATGATGTTTCGTGTTTTGTCAAAAACTCAGATTCAGAGAAATAACATAATAGAAAGTGCTGCGGAATTTATTTTGACAGTGGAATATTTCTGACTTTAGAATCAGTGTTTTGGGATACCGAAGGCCTAGAGCAAGATTCGTGAACGAGATCGGTATAACGTATGACACATTAAGTATAGTGGTGGTCATACCAGCGATGTGCAAAACTGTTCTCAACCTTTCACAATAAAACCATTGCTCCTATAACATAGATTCCGTGATTCCATTTTTCTCATTATATTAAAACGATGTTTAGATTACCAGGCAATAGGATTACTTTCGTTACAAACAACTGGAGGAAAGGATACCTGAACGTAAACATGGAGCTATTTAGTTAACCTTCCTGTTTCCAACACAACTCCAACATGATGCACTGTTTCTGTTCAGTGTGAACTCTTTGAGAGAAATATTGAAGCATGGAATGATTTGTTTGTTCTCCCAAAAGTGAAATTCTGGAGCGTGTTTTGATTATAAAGAAAAGGATGATCCCAGGGAGGGGGTAGCTTAAATGGGACATGATGCTAGCCATATTGGATGTCCAACTATGCTGTTTTACGATCGAATGAGGTTCTCGGCAGTTACTGGAGTAAAGCTCTATCAGGCCAGCTAGCCTTAGCTGTTTACACAGGAGCCCCGACTTGGCGTTGAGTGTTCTTCCTCACGAGCGTTGTGTACTCAGTGTACGAGTTGAGGGTGATGGGCCGAGGGCTGTCCGTCTCACGCCGGCAACAGCACCGATGGCAGCACGTACTGCCGCATGCGCACCGTTGTAAGATTTGGCGAAACTTGCTGCGAAAGTTGTCGCTGAAGACACAGTACAGCACTGGATTCGCCGCAGAGTTAATGTAAGCCAATGTCGTCGTGAGTACGTGGAACATCCAAGTTTGGTCAAATCTGACGGGTGAGAAGGTTTTGTAGAAGAGCAGGATTTGATGTGGGGAATAGCTGAGGAAATAGATGGCCACGCTGGCCATGAGCATCTTCACGACGCCTTTTCTAGCTCGTATGGCCTCGCTCAGGGCTCTTGTAGGAGGGCCGCGACCATTTGGGCGTGATGCTGAACTTATTCCCCCTCCACTGGTTCTGTGTAGCTTTTCCACTCCGACAAATAGACGTTTTCCGATGACAGCATAGAAGACAATCTGAAGAATTAACGGCCCCAGGTAGAACAACGCTGACTCGCTGTACTTGAAAATTCGGTAGTACACTTCGTGTTGGCTTCTGTTGGTGTGGAACTGAGTGAGGCAGAACTCACGGGGAGGGACCACGGACAGCTGTAGGACACGATTGAACACGGCAGTGGGTGTGGCGCAGAGCCCAGAGATGAACCAGACGATAATGATGACGAGAAGTATCCGCTTCTTTGTGCACATGATGTGAGCTTTGATCGGGAACACGATGGCTATGTATCTGGAAGGGAAAAAATATATATATTTCGGTTATTATTGGATCAGGTTCCGGAGAAAAAAAACCGTCCGTAATGCAGTCTTTGAGGACAGGCGTTCTCATAATTCGACAACGCCCGGAGACGTACTGCTTTGGGACACTTTTAAAAAGGAACTTAACTTCCTTATTCATATTATTTTATTTTCAGCTCTGATTTATTTGGGCTAACATAAACGGCTGACAACAACATACTTACAATACACATCATATTTCTGATGGTTTGAAATGTGCCACAAGACTAGCTTTGGTCTGCTGCTAATCGGACGTACTATTATGACGTGTCCTCTACGTCCTTAAAGAATTATGTAGTGTTCATTGTCACAATTTAACTTATTAGACATAATTATATTCACAACTGATGAAACTGACACTTTATGTTTGAATGTAAGGCTATTTTTGCTGACCATCTTGCGGCGAGGATAAAGTAAACGTTGTATGAATGTGTCTGACTTGTGGGAGAATGCTTCCGTATATTGGCACGGGTCCATATTGCTACTGAGGGGCGTTTCTTACGTTTTGAGTATTCTAGTATAGCGCTGCAAAATAATAATATGTTTATAGGAAGGGTAGTTTACGGGGGGTACAAGTTCCATCTTCTCGTTATGGATATGTCCTACGGTGTAAGTTCCTCACGATTGGGTTGTCTCTTTAATCTGCTATTTACAGAATTCTTCGTAAAATAAAACATAATTTATGTACTACAGTAGGATTTACGTCAACTATGTGAACTTCTGTTTGTTTGGGGGGGTTTTTTGGTCAGATTTTCTTTTGAATATTAATCATTTGTCATCATCAGTGCGAAGAAAGCGTCCCTGGGTCATAATTGAATCTACAAATTACGTTGGTAAAAAGTACAATTTGATCACTCCTTGATTAAAAAAAAAAAGCTTAGGGGGTGGGGGTGGCTGGTTTAGAGAAACTTTCTCGTTAACTATGACCTTTCAGTATAAAGCCTTATAACAAGGAAGTATAACAGGAAAACATCTCTAAAAAGCTACTATAATTGTTTTTCTTTAAATCTAAAATAACCATTTTAACGGCGGCCATATTGAAATTAAACAGCTTTCATAAAAATAAAAAGGACTCTTTATTTACCAACCAAAGTAACCATCCATGTAACTCCGTTAAGAATGCATCGATTTGTAAACTTAGGTTATGGTGTAAATAACAAGCCCTGAACATTTTATTGGAATAAAAAAAGAAAATAAAAAAGTAGACGAGAAAAAGCTACCAATAATCGAAGTTTTGAGGAAAAACGACATTTTGTAACATAATAGGCAAAATAAAAGTTCAAGGACAAAAAATCTTAAAGATGTTAAGTGTGACACAAAGAGTATGCATTTATTAGGTTTAAAAGTGGTTGAAGAATTATAATACTTTAAAAGTCCAAACACCATAAACTGACCCAAAATCGTCAACTTTAACCCCCCCCCCCCACCTAAAGTTAAAAGTAAAACGCATAAGGTCAGGAAAGTGGCCCAGCAGAGAGTGGAGACGGTATATTTGCCTACCATTAACAGCCATTTCTGAATGGAGGTCTACAATCTACTTTTATCAAAAGTTTAGGTTGATTATATGAATTATCGAATGTTTAAAACATGTTCACAAAATTGCTGTCAAAGGAATGATGGCGATCACTGTAAACGACCTTATAACGTCATATTATTGTATCCCACCCGTACATCAGCTTGCTCCAAAGTCACAACGATACCTTGTATTTGGTGATTTTTTTTTAATGTAGGTGTTAAACACCACAGAGATACAATTTGATCATTAAGGAGGCGGGCTTTGACCCAGCCTATCAGGGCCAACCCGGCTTGAGAAGGATGCAACGTCCAAGTAAAAGAAAAAAAATAACCGATATACTGGATAAAAATATTCTCCCCACGCGAGTATAAAATCACGTTTTCTGCGTGCGAAGTCCCCAGCCACTACACAAGAGACACTGGTATTCTTCGTTTTATGTATTCTATAATAGGGCTGACTGTTTTCCTCAACTCTGTCAACAGTGGTGTGCAGACAAAGAACAACACGTTCCTGGAACGGCTAAGAATTCAAGTGGTTTTTCTTTGCGCCCTCCACCTCACCTAAGCACATCAGTTTCGATTTCTGCATCGTCGTTGAATTGATTTCCCTTTAAGTGTTCTCCAATGTATTGCCACCAAGGGCGAACTATGGGTTCACTATTTTGACCCAGAAAACAAGAGACAATCCAAAGATATCAGGCATAAAGTTTCGAGAAGTCCCAAAAAGGTGCAAAAAATGCCCGTTTTGCTGGGAAAGTATTCATGGCCATATTTTAAGACAAAAGGAATAATGCACATGGAGATCTTAGAGCAGGGTCACTATCAACAGTGTTTGACTCATCATGGAGACTTTTTATTTTAAAAACTTTGGATACGTTTTTCTCAAATTCAGCTCTGCAAAAATACCATTCTCAACCATGACAACCTTTATCCTCATACGAGCCTAAAGAATCAGGATGCCGTGTTATGACTCAAATTCTACGAGGTCTTGACACATTTCTATTGTCTAGACTTTGCCTCGTTTGCCTACTTTATTCCTATATCCGAAATCTAAAAGAACACTTGCAGGGAAATCAATATAATGGTAACACAACATTCTGGTATGCGTCGGTCGTGCAAAGTAATGTATATGTCTGATTAACCAATTTGAGTGCAATATAATTAAGCTTGACAAAGTGTTTACTCTTTTTATATAGCTTAATTTAAATCTTTTGCTAAGTAAAATGTTAAAAGATTCAGAAGAATTAATGCACTAGAAAGTACTTCAAAACATGTTTCACAAAATTCGAAAGCCGACAGTTACCTTTAAGTGAAAATTAAAGTTGTGCAAGTCATTAAGGCAACGCGATGACGCCTTACTAATCTTTCAAAGACATATCTTAATGTCTCAAAGAAATCACAAATTTGAAGATTATGTCAGACTAGTAAACTTTGGGTTACCCGTGGAGATTGTGAGCTGTAAAATCAATTTTCGAGAGAAAACATTATTACTTTGTTGAGCAATTTCGTTCGCATACATGATGCAAAGAGCATCTTAGCCTGAGGGCCAGTTCCATACACTTCTAAAACTCGAAACCAGAATTTCCACAGAGAAGTAGAAGAACGGGCATAATTTATAGACTTGAGATGCGGTTACTTTTTTGTTTTTGTTGTCCCAAATCGACATTTCTGTCGCAAAGGTGGTATTTATATAATATAATTATATATATGTATATACATTTATACATATATATTCATATATATAAATATGTGTGTGTGTATGTGTGTGTGTTTGTCTCTCGCTCTGTGTGTGTGTGTGTGTGTGTGTGTTTGTTTGTCTCTGTGTGTGTGTGTGTGTGTGTGTGTGTGTGTGTGTGTGTGTGTGTGCGTATGTGTGTGTGTGTTTAATAATTAATAATTGTGGTACTGAAAGATTCGTCCCGAATATTATCAGTAGTTACACAGACAGGAAGTTGATATCAAATACAAATATTTGAAAGTGATAATGTGTATTTGTTGTTAGCAAGCGAAGTGATCATTGTGAGCAATCATATTTGAGGAAGCATTTCGGGCTAATTCACATTTCGATGCTCTTTATGTATGTAAAGTTAAAGTCACGTCAAAGTTGTGACGGGATCGTTTAAACTATTTATTTTATCTAAAGGTACAAAATATCATAAAGCGGTCGCAACTGACAGATTCCTTAGGTTTGAACTGGTTCTTTCAGAGACACGACTCATTTTCCGACACAAAAAGTTACCAAGCAACAATACGGTCGTCTAATTCAAATTTCCTGGTAAAACCCATGGCTTGGTAAACATTATCAACGTATTTACGTCCATTTACTGTCCCTGTAGAAAACATCTACGCGTAACCTACATAAACAATGTCAGTATGAGATGTAGTCAAGCTAGTTACTTTCTGGTGGAGAGTCAGTCCGCCACAAAGAGCGCATACTCACTGACCGGGCCGGGGAAAACAGGTTAATTCAAATTAATTAACCACGTCTGATAAAATGCTAGGTCTCAGAGGACACAGCTTCCGTTTCTTAATATAAGATTCTAACCCGTTTACTTTCTTGTTCGAACAGAGGTCGGTGACTGACCTATCGTTTTTTTACCTTAATTCCCCCACCGTGATTGCTTCTGCCACCGGAAGGAGACGTTCAATTTGTGCTTCCTTAGAAATCTTAACAGAGACATTTTCAAAAAGGTGAGAGGGAAAATAAACGAGGCGATGAGAGTGTATCGTGGGTGAGGTCTTTGAGAGACTGAACAACTCTAAAGATTCAACAAACACAGACTGGCACCATGGTGAGTTGAACTGAGTTTAGATGGTGAATGACGTCATAGGATGAATTTGTACCCAGACACATTTCTTTCAGGGTATGCACACAAGACCACTTAACGAAATCAAAATTTGTGCCTTGACCTCTCTCGACATCAACAATCCCAACTTTTTACTACCTTTCAAAGTGGCTGCACCCGGTTTTGGGTTGGGGGTGGGGGGAGTAATCTCACCGTGTGGTGCACTTTCTATTAGAGTGCACGCAGTATGAGACACTTGTGGGGAGCTACTCAAGAATTGATTTGTTGTGGGCTGTCGAAATTTCCGAAACGCTTCTCTGTGCCAGGATTTTCTTTCTCGCCCTGGTTTATCTGCCTCGTCGGAGTTTCCAAATACGATGCTGAGTGGCTTAATCGAATCTTGATACATGTAGAGAGAAGTGAAGGAGCAGGAGTTTGAAAAAAGCTTATCTGCAGGATTCACGGCTTCATCGAAACCTATGACAAGCTCATGTAAATGCATCTTAAGGAATCGGAAAGTTAAAGTTTGGCTCCTCAAACACCACCATTGTTCCTGTACAGAAATGTTACGTAGTGTACTGTTGCCTCATAATGAACCTTTAGTCAGTAGCAGCGTTTCAGCTAAAGAAAGAAGAGACAAACCTTCCCCACA